CTAAATCTAGCCACAACCTAAACTCAACGAGTCTGAGGATTTACAAGAGAGTTCCTAATCAGTAAACTTCTAAGTAAGCAATTTAGGAGATATTGTAAGTGCAATAACAAGGTACAACTCAACTAGGACAGCAATAATCGATCGTTTTGGAACTGGTCCATAGTGGTGTTCAACCTTGTTCTTCAAGCTTGAGAGAATGATCTTTTCTGTTTTTTGCTAAAGGCTTGAATGAATGAAACTGAAACCATTCAGTGATGTTTTGTATAAAAAACCCTTTGGTACATCTTGGTCACATCACTTGAAATGATGTGAGTACTTTGTTTGGTTAGAGAATGAGTGGGCTGACAGTATGGTCCAGTGCGGCAGAAACAGTGTCGCCAGTCACTTCAGTTCCAGCTGTGTCCAAATGACTTGTGCTGCTATATAGGAACCTCAGGAGCATCAGGTCCTTGTTTGGTTCTTAGCTCCTACAATTGTAGCAATTCATCTTTTACTGGAGTCCGTTGGAGTTTGCAGCAATCCAAGGTAGATCAGGTTCCCTAACTGGTTCTTGTCAGAAAGTTTGTTAGATCATCAAAACATAAGGTAAGAATATTTAAGATCTATCAGTACCCATGTGTCATCAATTGAGAAAAGAGTGGAGGGAGTAGAATTCCATGTGTAGTTGTGGAAGACAAGTGTCCAAAATAGGGGACAATTGTGAAGTCCACATGGAGCTACTAAAATCTCCATCCTTAAACTCATATTCCATGGATAAGAATGTCCTTATGGTTTCCACATGGCATGAAGTAATGTGATAAGCATTAACTTTTGGTGAACACGTGTCTAACATGCATGAAAAGTTCCCTCTTATCTAACTAGTCATGTTTCCACCACCAAAGATAATTAATGCTGCATCATATCCTTTCTTTTCCTTCATTATAAATCAATTCCTCTTCTTTTCAAAACAAAACAAGTCTTGTTTCTTCTTTCTATTTTTACAAAGAAGAACAGTAATCTTAACCGGAGGTTCCTTTTATCAAATTATCTCTATTAAAGTAAGATGTAGGGAAGCTTTAAAGAAGGAGACCTTCTACGATCTCGTATGAGCAATTAAGGTATGTTAAGGCTAATCCTTTCTTTTTTTGGCATGATCCAAGTAACGATACGTAAACGTAATGATATTCCATAAGTGATTCTACTCTTTAGCAATTAAGGATGTCTATGTTATTCATTCTCGTAGAGTGATATTCAAGCATGCCTAAGTATGTATCTAGTTCCCTATTGAGGTATTTGATAAAGATATTAATATTTATAATATAGTAATACATACATCTTTATGCATATTCATTTACCACCGTGCTACGGCCGGTTGGGCAGTCATGCATATTCATTTACCATCGTGCTATGGCCGATCGGGCAGTCATGCATTTACCACCGTGCTACGGCCGGTCGGGCAGTTACCATCGGTTGCCGGTTGGACAGTTATGTATTATTATTTACCACCGATTGGCAATTATACATTTACCACCGAGCTACGGCCAGTCAAGCAGTCATGCATTTACCAGCGCGCTACGGCCGATCGGGCAGTTACCACTGATCAGTTGGGCAGTCAAGCCTCTTCATTTACCATCGTGCTACGGCCGGTTGGGCAGACATGCATTTGCTGCCGGGCTACGGCCGGTCGGGCAGTTACCACCAGTTGGGCAGTTATGTATCATTATCTACCACCGGTTGGGCAGTCATACATTTACCACCTTGCGACGGCCGGTCGGGCAGTTACCACTGATTAGTTGGGTAGTCATGCATCATACATATGGATAATATTCTCAAAGAGAAGCATTATATATATGTAAGTATAATAAGTATGTACATACGGTGGCACTTCAGAGATTCAGGTTGACTCTTGTATGTCTGTAATTAATGTTGACTTATCGTTATGTTTCTGTTCTGCCTTACCTACTCAGTACATTATTCGTACTGACGCCCTTTTGTTGGGGACGTTGCGTTTCATGCCCGCAGGTATAGACAATCAGTTTGACGATCCCTCATAGCAGACGAGATTGGCATTCGGCGAAGGATCGGTAAGACTCCACCTCATTCGGAGTGCAGTCGAGTCTATGAGTCATCGTGTCAGAGTTTTACTACATACTTATGGGTCAGCCGGTACCCTGTCCCATTTTATATCGAATAATCTTTGAGGCTTTGTAGACATACAGAGGTTTATTATGTACAATATGTCAGAGGCCTTGACGGCCCATATGTAGTCATGTTTTATGAACGATGGTTCATTAATATAACATTTGCCCACCTATAGTTGTACATTACGAGTTGTGGCCATGTTAGCCCATGATAGTTACAAAGAAAATGAATGAGTTACAGAGTGGTTCGCTCGGGCCAGTGCGGCACCGGGTGCCAGCCACGCCTCCCAAGGTTTGGGGCGTGACAGAACTTTATTTTCACTTGGCGACGGTCGATGGCCGTAAGGGCGTAAATTCGAGCGCGGTCGAAATTGTAACCCGTTGTGAGTTCGAGCGAGGTCGAACTTTATTTTCACTTGGCGACGGTCGATGGCCGTAAGGGTGTAAATTCGAGCGCGGTCGAAATTGTAACCCGTTGTGAGTTCGAGCGAGGTCGAACTTTATTTTCACTTGGCAACGCCCGATGGCCGTAAGGGTGTAAACTCGAGCTAGGTCGAAATTATAACCTGTTGTGTGTTCGAGCGAGGTCGAACTTTATTTTCACTGTGCGGGTTTGGAGGGATGGTGAGATTTGTCCATTGCATTACTTTTATTGGAGAACATTACTCGTTGCCGCATTGTTTATGCGTGCGTCGGGGTGAGTCCCGATTTGTTCAATTTTGCTTTCATTGGAGAGTAATGTGTGTCGGAGTGAGTCCCGATTTGTTTAATTTTGCTTTTATTGAAGAGTACTGTGCGTCGGGGTGAGTCCCGATTTGTTTAATTCTATTTTCATTGGAGAGTATTGTGCGTCGTTGCATATTTTGTATGCGTCGGTGGAGTCCCGGTTTATCTGGTCCCTTCGTTGCTCGGCCTGGAGAGGCCGTTGGCGGGACAGACGATGAACTTATTGCTTGGGTTACTGGGCACTCTGGGAATTCATCAATTCAAACGACGTTCGGACGTGACTCATAATATTTAATCGGTTGAATTGGCGTAGGATTGTCATGGCGAGCATACGTGCAAGCTTTTCGAGCTCATGTTCTGTCGGTATTGGGAAGACTATACGTTTCATGGACCCATTGCTCAGTCCCCGGTTCCGAAGATTGTTTCTTAATAATGTTGGCATGTTCTGAGTCATTTCTGTTATTTGTAATATGGTACGACGCAGAGGGCTTTGCTCGATCATTGCCTGCGAAATGGTACTGTACAGAATGTTTTCCTAGTGTGTTTGGTGGCGTTCGTTCCTTGTTCGAGTACCTGTGATAATGCTCGTGTTCCTATTCCGAACCAAAAAGAGAGGAAGTACGATAAGTTAAACCCATACGAAATTGTCTGTTACCTCGACCTAGTAAGTCGGTGAAGCGGGAAAGGCGTTGTAGGGCTACTTGCTTCGCCCCGTGCTCGAATGGCGGTTTCATATTTTGTAGCCGTATTTGGCTTCGTCGTTAGTCGCGTCTAGGCTTCTCGTGGGCTGAACTTACTTTGCCGTTGGGATCTCGAGACTAAGTCCCAATCCGATCCCGTCCGATATGCGCAAACAATAAGGGAAACATGTCATACTTGTTCATGAATCACATAGTGCGTATGGGTACGAAAAAAAGGCAGGATACGCCCGTTATTTCAAAGAATCACACAGTAGACGATCGTCCCTTCCTAAAAGGTGGGAATACAGGTCGGCATATATAGTAAATACGACAAATAGGATTGCGGTCATGCTAAGTGCGTAGTGACCGTGATCCTACTTTGAACATGCATATGACGTGCCAAACCCATCGCTACATGTGAGGCGTGGGTTTTGCATAGATATCGGACATGATTTCGATTTTGTGCAAAGATCTGACCCTGATTGTTTGGTTATTTCAAAAGCTTACCTACAACTTTCTCAAGTTGGTGTTTACATAGAGAGTGGGGCTTTGGCCACCGGGAAGCGGAACTCTGGCTTTTAGATCTACAGGGAACTAAAAATTTAGCTAAGATATCCCCGCAGACGGCGACAAATTGTTTGACCAAAAAGTGTTAAGCTCTTTGTTAAACTAATTAATGAGAAAATAGGGGATAACTCTTAACCAAGGATAATTAACTCTAGATCAAAGCACGTTAAATACGAGAATAGAATATAATCAAGCTTATAACCCTTTTTAAGATTATAAAAGATACCAAACATAAACGATGAGCTTACATTCTTGACGTATTATTCCGTAATGTAAGGACAAAGAAGGAAAAGAAGGAATGTCATTGTGGGATCTATCTTTATTGATTCAGCAATGACAATTACAAAGATTTGCAACCAAGATCTAGACTTTCGCTTTATTTTCGTTAGAGATCTTCCCCTGTTCTTCTGTCCCTTTTTCTTGAAGGAGAGAAGCCCTTTTTTCTGTCTTCTTACCTACTATATATATTATAAGTATTTTTGCCCAACAGTTCTTAGCCAGAATAACCTCATCCCTTGATTGTACTTTACGTCGTTCCCATTAAGTATCACGACATACACTTTGCCGTACAAGCTTTCTGATGGCTCGATCTCGGCAGTGGCCGAGATACTCGTCATTAGTACGCCTTGTGGATACGACCACGGCTTAATCGACCCCTTACCATTTCTTTTAGCACTAATCTACGTATGATCAGATTTTGACCCATACATAAACTATCAGAGTCTAACTTCAAACTCGAATGCTAAAACTTGAATGAGCTTTAAACCCGAAGGTCTGAAAACTTCAATTTAAAAATTCGAGGTTTATAATTTGATTCTGAAACGGTTAAACTTTAAATATTTTGTAACTATTGGCTATATCTTAAATAGCTGTCTTAATAGGACTATTTGTGCATTTCGCCCAAATATATTGTGTACGCCAGTGAACAAAAAGAAACTATTTTTATCACTCTAGAAACCAAGCCCGACCCAAATACAACCCCGTAAAATGTCCACCGCCGGAAGCCGCCACCTTCTCCGCCTACGCCTCTCCTGCCGTAAAATCACGGCACAAGTGACAACAACCACCACCGACACAATCGTGGCAATGTCTTCATCATCGGAGCAAGAGTTTGCGGCGCAGTGTAAAGCCAAGCTGAACCGAGTGCCTAGGTGTCTTAATTTGTGGGACGCGAAGATCGCTTCTAGAGTCGGAGAGAAGCTCGGCGATCGGCTTAATGAAGTTAAAGTTTATAACGTGGAGATTGATGTTGAAGAAGAGGTGAATCGGCCTGTTCATTATCGCAAAATGGTGGCGCCGCTTTTTGAGTCCGTTAAGGGCAAGGGTATTGCTGTAGTTGGAGCTGACAAATTGGGTTTCTTCTAGTTATTATTGTCAATTTTTGGTACTCTTTTGTTCTCCTTTGAATTTATTTCATGTGATGTTGTTTGATTAGGCATGTAATTTAAGAAAGAAAATTTTGGTCTAAAATGAACCATAAATATTTTTTTTTTTTCTAGTTCTCATGGTAAAAATAAAAAAATTGAAGTTAAATTATTTTTAAATATAAATATTTGTAATTTTACAAACTAAAAAAAAGTGTATCACGTAAGTTGGACAGAGGAATTAATTGCTCTTCCTCATTTTATGTTTCACATTTCGTAATCTGTCCGACAAGAATGACACTTTTCTTTATTAAGAATTTAATTATTTAACGCTTAATGAGATAATTTAGTAGTTGTATAAATATGTATTTATTTTAGACTAAAAATTTTATCAGTTTTTTCTTCTTAACTTTGCCTAGCCAAGTACCATCTCATAAAATGGAGTAATAGTTTGTCTTATCTTTATGGCGTTCACGTTAAAGGATTTGAAAAAGTAAAGAAATTTGTATAACATGTCAATAGGTTATAAATCATAAATTGAACGGTGGGGTGATGGATTTGAATGAAATGCTCTTCAAACAATTGTTGTTTAGTGAGATATCTTAAGTTCCCCTCTTAATTCTGCTTTTTACATTAAAAAGAGAGAGTGAATGCTTCATTTAGTTTAAATTATGGCTCCATTCACTTTAACCAGCAATTTCAGGCTCTATTTTTTTTAATCAGAAAAAAAAAAGGAAAAGAAATTGTCTAAATGGATAGTTTTGTAAAGGGAGTTGGTTAGAAATCAGACGCAATCCCTTCTTTTTTTGCAATTTTCTCGTACAGGAGAATTCTAATAATTCTGAGACTTCTCTACCCCTCAATGTTTATCATATTTGTCTCCATGAATTCTAGTATTATTTTCCATTTCTTTGCTTCTGAGGCAGTTTCAAGTTTAAGCTGATCTTCAAGGCAGTTTTCCAAGTAGAAGTTGGTTCATCTAAGGTTATTACACAACTCTTAACAATTGTGTAATATCCATTATAACAAGATGGCCACTTCTGCCGGAGAAAACTCTAAGGAAAGGTGAAATTTTTGGTCCTCCTTTTCGCCTATATTTTAAGGGGCAGCTTGTATTTTGACCAAGATTTTGATTTTGCTATGATGTTGTTGAAACATTTCCATTGATTGCTATGTGAATGAGAGCTGAAATTTCATTCCCTTGCTGCAGGGTTGCAATCATTTTCTCCTAATGACCATTTGGAAATTCTTCATTTATATTTTATTTATCTGTCCATATCACACGTCTTGGAAGTTTTGAGATGTTGAATCTGATTGATGTATATGAAAAATGTATAATGCTCAATTCTTTCTCATTATTCCCGCTGATTTTGGCCCGCCTGTTTTCTCCGGTATAGTCTCGTAGACGGCTTTCTTTGGTATAGTCTCGTAGACGGCTTTGAAGGGGAGCCTTGGAGCAACAGTCAAGTTGTCTTTGTGTAACCTAAAGGTCACGAATTTGAGCCGTGGAATTAGCCACTGATGCTTGCATCAGAGTAGGCTGCCTACATCACACCCCCTTGGGGTACGGCCCTTCCCCGGACCCTGCGTTACCCCAGCATGCTTTGTGCACCGAGCTGCCCTTTAGTCTCGTAGACAGCTTTATACCTGAAAGGAAAAAAAAAGTAGGCACATTCCAATGGATCGGTCTTAAGAGGATTCATCATACCCAGACTATGTTTACTCTGACTTCCAATGTATTGTAACCCTTCTACTCTCTCGGCTTAAAATTGGTTATATTTTGGGAAGCTCGCATAGGCGGAGTTTGTACTGCATCAAACTATCGTAACAATTCTTTCGCGATGGGAACCAATAGAGTATAGCTAATTGCTGCTATATTTTGTCTTAATTAGCAGTTCTTCCTCTCTAGCAAGGCTTGCTCCCCTTCAAGCAATACTATTTGACATTGATGGAACTTTATGTGATTCTGATCCATTTCACTATCTTGCATTCCGTGAAATGCTTCTGGAGGTACGTATCAACTCTTTATATTATGATCTTTTTTCCTGTAGAAAAAAGAAAAGAAATTGTGAACAGTAAATGAGAAATTCATGATGATTTTCATTACCTTTGCATGGGTTATTTTCAACAGATAGGCTACAATGGGGGTGTGCCAGTTGATGAGGAGTGGTTTGTCAAGACTATTTCTGGGAAACACAATGAAGATCTTGTCTCTGTCTTTTTCCCTAATGATCATGAAAGGGGTGTAAAATTCTTAGATGACAAGGAAGCTTTGTTTAGAAGGTATTTAACTTCCTTACCATACCTTGTCTTTTTCAATGAGTTTAAGTTTAGTTCTATGAACTTCTAGTGTAAAAAAATATTTACATAATCAGGTCACTTATAAGATAATTACAATTAAATCTTTATGATAACCATTAACTTGTAACCTGCTATAATAGGTTAAACTACATTGACCGTGTAAAAAGTCGGACCATTCCTATGTGAAAGTACAGAGAAAAATGACATTGCCAAAAATTGATAAGGTAGATTTCCCAATTATCCATCAAAAGAAGAAGCGGCCATTTTGAAGTTAGAATTAATTTTCTTTGGTGCCTTAAATAATGCATGAAAGGATACTTGAATAGCTGTAGGGTAACCTCAAAATATAGCAAAGACTTCTACAATGCTTACTATTTTTCAATAGAAATATTTCGTTCAAGAAGGGCTCCGAAAGATGTCGATCGTATATGAGAAGATTGGTTCTTCAGTGTATTTAACTTAAATCCCATTTCAATTAGTGTTATGCAACTTAACTATAAGTTCAATATCATTAATCCACCAATCTAATAGATATTGTGGGTGGAAACTATAGGTTGGCAAAAGAACAATTGAAACCTCTAAATGGTCTCTACAAGTTGAGAAAGTGGATTGAAGATCGTGGTCTGAAACGAGCTGCAGTTACCAATGCACCTAGAGAAAATGCTGAACTGTGTATAAATCAGCTTGGCCTTGCTGATTTCTTTGATGCACTGATTCTCGGAAGTGACTGCAAACATGCAAAACCATATCCTGATCCCTATTTGAAGGCCCTTGAAGTGTTGAATGTATCAAAAGATCACACATTTGTATTTGAGGTATGATTTCTTTTGACTTTTAGTTTTCCTTATCAGTTTTCATCGAAGTAATTGGATGGACAATCATCCAACTTTCAATTTGTCGCACCAGACTCATAGAACTAATCTATATAATGTTGAAATAACTCATTATGTTTGTATATTATGGAAAATAAAAATGTCAGAAAATGATAAATTTGGTCCCAAAAACATAAGTAGGTTGTCGCTGCAGCAACTATCCATGCGGCATCACTAAAAAAATGAAAAACCCAATTTCCGACCTAATTTTATTTTTAAAGAAAAAACTAATGATCACGTCACATGGTGTGAGACATCGGACGATATTAGGTCGGAAAATGAGTTTTTCTTTTAAGTGGTGACATGAATAGTATGTAAGGTGAGTTGATGACGTGATTATACCTACATGACAATTTTATACATTTGCCAATAAACTTGTGTTTTTTGGCATTTTGATTTAGTATTTTCCGCAACTTATTGTTTTTTTCTGCTATATAAGCATATCCTTTATGACTTTAGTATAATAGATTGAAAGTTTGTTGGGCATCTATCAAATTAACCTCAGTTTTATCTTAATGAAACTTATTGCATGTTTGTTCCATGGATAGGATTCTGTCTCAGGGATAAAGGCTGGGGTGGCAGCTGAAATGTCTGTTATTGGCTTGGCAAATCGAAATCCATCTCAGTTACTTATGGAAGCAAATCCTACTTTTCTTATTAAAAATTATGAAGATCCAAAATTATGGGCAGCTCTTGAAGAGATTGATAAGATGTCAAGTACTGAGAAGAAGACCATAGCATGAGTCGATAAGGCATAGACAATATATATGAGGTGAAAGATCGGCAAATAACTTACTCATATTCGATGTTTACACTAAATTATATTGGTTTTTGTGATGGTTAATTGATAGATTGAGGCGAAAGTACATAGTAGTACTAATTAACCATGGTTAGCGATAAAAGTGTATATGAAAGACATGTGTCATGTACTCATCGGCCTTGTGTAAACTCCATGTGTGAGTCAATTTTTTTCAGTGAAGACCTTTATTCTTGTTTCTGGGGTTGGTTTGATTGAACTCTTGCATTTTCTTGTTATAGACAGTACTTTGACTCCTATAGAATAATCAATTAACTATACCTCAATCTGAAAAGTAGTTGGATTTTAGTATTAGATACTATATATATATATATATATATATATATATATATATATATATATATAAAGGATTCAGTATATTTATAACTTAGCAAGCTTAATTAAAGCTTGTTTAGTTATATTGTGTTGTCACATAACTTATGACATTTGTCTAAATGCTAGCCGTTCTGTTATATGTATATTAGAGTTATATGTATACTCGCTTGTGTAATTCTATTTTTGATGACATGAACTATTATAACAACTACCCTGTAAAATCTCACAAGTGGGGTCTGGGGAGAATAGTGTATATGTAGACCTTACCCCTACCCCAAGAGAGTAGAGAAGTTGTTTCTATATCATCGGCTCAAGAAGACAAAAAGAGAGCATCATCAACAGCAACCATAAAAATAATAACAACATGTTAAGAATCAGAAAATAGATGAAAAGCAGAAACGATAAAATAATACATATTGTTTGAGCATAAGATTAATTGTCATTCTCAACAAATATACGCTCTCTTGGATGTAAGAATTGATGGAGAAATATCGCCTATATATAGTTGTTTATATCAATGTTTTAAAAGGCAGGGGCGTGAGGCGAGGCGTTTTACCTCTGATGAGGCGTAAGCCCCGAGACATGGGACGTAAGTCCCACGGATCTTTATAGTTTACTAATTTCAAAAATTTTAAGATAGTGTAAAATAAAAAATAATTATAAAAATTAAATTAAAATCACAAAATCATAACAGATATTTTATTTAAAATATTTATAAATTATAATTCGACAATAATATGAAAAGTATGACATATATCATAATATGCAAAGTAGTTGCAACGTCGTTACAACTCAAACATCAAAAGTAATGTATTCGATGTGAAATCTCATGTCACGACCCGGATTTTCCACCCTCGGGAGTCGTGATGGCGCCTACTCGTGGAAGCTAGGCAAGCCGAATATTATTAAATCAATACCCTTTTTATTAAGCATGTTCAACAATTCAAAGTAATGAGTGATTAAACAGGGAATAAATTAAATAACCAGAAATGCCGAAGACGAAAACTTAATAGTTCAACCAAACACTGCTACATAATATGAAGTACAATACTACCCAGAATTTGGTGTCACAAGTCACAGACTATCTAAGAATACTACAAATAAGGTCTGAATAGAAATACACAAATCTGTCTCTGAATAAGTAAAAACAGAAAGGGAAATGATAGGAGGAGACGCCAAGGCCCGCGGACGTTTGCAGGACTACCTCGGGTCGCCTGAATGGACTGAAGACAGCACCCTCACTGCGGTCCAAACGCTCCGGGATCAGTATCTGCACACAGTGCAGAGTGTAGTATCAACACAACCGACCCCATATGCTGGTAAGTGTCTAACCTAACCTCGACGAAGTAGTGACGAGGCTAGGACCACACTACCAAATAAACCAGTTAAAGCATACACAACGGAAAATAAAAGCAGATATTCATAGTTAAAGATGGGGAGGGGAAGGCATGCTACGGGGAGTATCAGATAACAACAAAATACCAAATAGGAACGTAAAGAAACCATAATTTAGTTGCCAACAATAATGAGGAAAACAAACACAATATTCACTTTCATTTCTTTCTCGTTGCAGGCGTGCAACATGCTCCCACTTCATATATTACTGTTGCAGGCGTGCAACCCGCTCCCATCTCATGTATTACCGTTGCAGGCGTGCAACCCGCTCCCATTTTATATGTTACCGTGGCAGGCGTGCAACCCGCTCCCATTTCATATATTACCGTTGCAGGCGTGCAACCCGCTCCCATTTCATATGTTACCATTGCAGGCGTGCAACCCACTCCCATTTCATATATTACCACCTTTCATATTTCAACACCAATCAAAGAAGAATTCCGGCAAGGGAACAATAAGACAACAACAATATCCCGGCAAGGGAACAATAATATAACATCAACATCCCGGCAAGGGAACAGTAATATAACACCAACATCCCGGCAAGAGAACAATAATATAACAACAACATCCCGGCAAGGGAACAATAATAGAACAACAACATATTACGCATGAATAAACCACGACGGAGTCACAACAATTACAATACAAGACTCACGGGCATGCTTGACACTGACGTATAGATACTCGTCACCATGCCTATACATCGTACTCCACAATTAACACATAGCAAATAAGATACAACTCCTAATTCATCAAGCTAAGGTTAGACCAAACACTTACCTCAAACTTCCACGGCAAACTCAAGCCTCAAACACCGCTTTTCCTTTAGAATTCGCCTCCAAATTACTTGTATCTAGTCCAAATTAATTTAACAACATCAATAAATGCTAAAGAATTCATACACAATGCTTAATTATAGGTTTCCTATCATTTTCCCCAAAAAGTCAAAAATCGACCCCGAGCCCGCTTGGTCGAAACTCGAGGTTCGGACCAAAACCCGATCACCCATTCACCCACGAGCCCAAATATACAATTAGTTTCGAAATCCGACCCCAAAACGAGATCTAAATCCCAATTAATCAAAAAGCCCTAACTCTACCCAAATTCCTAATTTCTACCATAAAAGCCCTATGTTTTTGGATGAAAATTGATGAAATGCAATGGGGAATCGAAAGAAAAAGGTTTAGAATCATATACCAATGCTTTGGGGAAGAACTTGTTCTTTGAAAATCGCCTCAATGCTCTCTAGTTTTGAAAATATGAAGTTATAGACTAAA